CCTTCGTTCACTGTCAACGTCACAGGAGAAACAACAACAGCAGGAGATGATATCGATTCACCGGGATCGCCTTTAGTTCCCGGCATACCTGCAGGTCCCATGTCTCCTTTCTCGCCTTTGTTTCCAGTCTCTCCCTGTAGTCCAACAGGTCCCATAACGCCTTGCTTGCCGCTCTTTCCTGGCGATCCCATAATACCTTGATCTCCCTTGTATCCAGTCCTTCCTTTCTGTCCTCTTCGTCCCCGGGCTCCTTTGTGTCCTCCTGGTCCAGGTGGACCGAAAGGGCCTGGGGGACCTGACGAGCACATGACACCCTTTGACTGACATAGATGTACACTCCCCTCTGATAAAAGTTTCTTGATTTTAAGAATTGTGTCTGCTTTGCGTTGAGCTTCTGTTGAATTCTTAGCTGAGTCAACTTGTCGGCTGTCTCTGTTTAGTTTAGAGGACTGAATTTCTAGAAAGAAAGGATAAGTGTGTTTTTAAAGAAAAGTCTTTTACTAACCAAAGTCTGTGATTGGTGAATTTCTGATGGACAAACCTCTTGCATTGACCGTTCGTTGATTACATTGGGGGATGCGAAAGGAAGCGTTCGAAGGGAGAGTATTCGCTGATGTCAAGGAAAGCGTTCAAGGAGATTGATTACTTTGAAGTTGTTTTTGTCCTAAAACAGCGAAGAAAACATGCCATTTTGTTCGTGACGAATTTTTAAAGTCCAGGCGTTTCAACCGAATTCAAGCGAAGAGCCTGAAAACTAGTTTTTCATCGAATGATCAATACCTGGTTACTAACTTGCGGGTGTCCCAAGAACGCATCAACGAACTCGCTTCCCGCAAAATTATACGGAAAATTAACTTGCGACCAGGCGGGTTTCTTTTGGGCGAACAGGGGATGAGAAAAAAAAGAATGCCTCATACATTCACGAATCGCCTGCCAACCCTTCGTTGCTTATCTGTCATTAACGATGTTATCTTGTGGCATGCTATAAATGAGAGCCAATCAGATTACACCGGAAATTCATGCGGCCGGTTGGAAGTGCGAAGACGACAAAGAGCAATGTACTTGTTTACTTTCCAGGCAAGCGAAATAGCAAGGTTGAAATGTCTCTGTTTCCGTCAAAAAACGACAAAAATGCATTGACAAAATCGTTGAAACATCATTTGATAAATGACGCTCTTCCCAGATCGCTTCGGAAGAATGGCTAAAACTTCATCTTTTAATCAGATGATCTTCCGAATGCATTCCATCTGCTTTCTCTTTAAGGATTTGCGAATAAAATCTTGAAGAGACCATATTATAGTCGCTCAAGATCACGGCCTCCGGGCTGAAATTTCGCAGTTTACGCCTTTACGAGTATTACTCCGCGGCAGCTGGGCTTCGTGTTTGAAATTGCACCGGAAGTTACATGTCTATCACGTAACCAATAAGAAAGGCGGGCTTACAGACTCTCTTGTTTTACGACCAATTAGAAAAAAGTCCAGATTCTGGACTACGGGCAGACGACTTGTGAAGTCATTGTATCAGAAGGTAGAGATGCAGTGGCCTCATGGTTAGTGCGCTCGTATCCATGTGATATCTACATATCTCAATCCCACCATCTTTCTACATGGGGCAGCACTTCACTTCCAATATGGAAACTCTAGTCTTTTTCTTATAGGAAAGGAAAAATTGATTGTCTGTTCGGTCACCATCATCGGCAAGCGTTTAGTCTACTAACTGCACGAGATAACTGAGACAGAAATACTTGATTTCGTGTTCAATCGAGATTAAAAATAGTATTTGGAGCATCCGCAGAAGACATATCCTTTGTTAATTTCCCATGATGCAAGGACTGCCAAAAAAAAAATATGGACTCCATCTTTAGCTCTAAGTTTGATCAAACTGTGAAAGAGAAGGGACTCACTGTGTCAAGCTTAGCTGAAGAAAAAATTGTTTGAAGGATTGTTTTCATGTAAAAATAATTGTGGTGAGTTGAACAAAACTTGACCTGCTAACCTTCGGGTTTCTTTTCGTCTGCAAAGCACAGAACAAGCAAGAACACGTTCATTTGTTATTTGTTTTAAATCATAGCAGTTTTCGCGGTTAATTTATTTCGACCAAGCTTTGATTCTGATGATTGTATTCTTTGATTGTACCACAGCTTGTAAACTTTAGGTTACATAATACACACTTACCAGGAGCATTCTTGCTTATCATGTCTGCGTTGTTTGGCGGCGACTTGGCCTCCGCAACGCTTTCAAGAGCGTTTATTCTTTTCCTCTGCTCGTGTAGTTCCAGCTCAACTCTTAAAAAGCCGGCGCAGTAAAGCACAATGGAAAGAACAGAAATAACAGAAGCAAAGGAAGGCATACTTTGTTTTTGAACAGCCATGATTTCGGCGATATCAATCCGCAATTCCAGAACGTTAGTGAAATAGAAACTATTTCAGCTGGTTACGTGATACTGGGATCACGAGTTTGGGTAACTTGCCAAATGGGTGTAATCTGAACAATTGTAACAGGCATAGATAGGTTCGCAGGACACACATTATTGAAATACTGGTCACACACGTTTAAAAGTAAAGCTCCGCGGGGTAAAAAAACAGGAGGAAAATTTCGCTGGGAAAATTTTTTTTTCGGATTCTTTCAGTTGATCACAGACTTACACTGGCTTCTGGTTTCGAGAGTCTGGGTTTTAAGAAAGTCAATAAGGTACGCGTTTCAAGCGATTTTGCAAACTAAATTTAATTTATAGCTTTTTGTGCCAACGTTTGCCACCCTTGTCAATTCGTTCTAAAAGATCTTAAAGCCCAAATCTCCTCTCGCAGAGAACAGATTTAATCGCAGGAAGGAAAGGAGGCCAAACAAAAAATATCGATTTAATGGTGAATTTCGATTGATTTATTATGTCTCATTCCTCTAAACCTAGGAGTCACGTTAAAATGTTTATACTTCGAAATTGGTCGATTCACATTTTTTGAATTTATTCAATTTTTCGACTGTTGTTTAATTCCTGTGGTATCGTCTTATCAACATATTTTTTCGAGCGTTTGTTTTTCATATATGCACTTGTGTATTTAGAGACAAAGCAGCGGGATATTTTTTTTCAATGTGGGATGGTTGGTATAGCCCAGGTATAGCCAAATCCCCCGTACAAAAATAGCGTTCCCTTCCCTGTTGAATGTCTTTTTACCCTGGTATCCAGTGCCGGCAGTGCTTTTGGTCCACAATGTGTAATGGCGAAAATTTCAAATTGATATTTGATTTTGTGGAGCTGCTAATTCCTTACAGAAGCAAGATAGGTGCATATTTATTTTACAGAAAACTTGCTGATCTCTTACACAACAAGGACGACGAAGAAAAATGGCAGTAGAAGCCGTGCGACACTTAAAAAAAAA